AGGTACCTCTCTCTATATATTATAGAGGTATCTTGACTGGTGACAGGAACACAATAAGGGAAGCACAACATATTTCAGATACGATGGCTTTGATGGGGAAAGTTAGAAATGAAGTTTACCTCTCTACGTTCATATGCTCCCTCTCTCAGAAGCCTGAGGTACACCATGCAAAACAAACAGCCTTACCACAAACAGAGATTTACGTCCACATTGCACAAGAGAATGAACAACACGTTTTATAAGGAAAGGTCTGCTTACACATATAGGTAACTTTACATATGGCTAAATTAAACCTTTTTTGCTTTGATGTAAAAATCAAAATCAAAAAATGACCTTGCTAAATCAAAATACGACTTCCCTGACTTCACACCGCACCTGCTGCAAGACAAGAATCTATGTTTGTTATGACATTTACATTTGGAAGACAGCTATATTTTAAGCTGTTTGAAAAAAAATAAAGTTTAGAGTCAAATAGCATGGCAGTTGCACTAAATATTTAATAGAAAAAATAATTAAAAAGGGAAAATTCCTGCTACCGAAAAGAAAGAAAGAAAACAAAAAAGAGGAACCAAGATGCATGAAGGAAATGTCAGTTCATCCAGAATTGTCAGATGTGTGTGCTTAATATTTAGGCCATTAAATATGCATTTAGGAATGTAGATGCATTTGCTTGCTCTTCAGAGATAACAAGGACTTGCCAGTTCCCAGTGAAGTCAGTAGAGATGCTGAGATCAGAAGGCATTCAGCTTTTCTGAAAACTGCTCCACTTATTTAGGTACCCTTAGGTGCGTGCACGCAGAAACTTTGGTTAACCAGTGCTAAGCATTTAAACAGCCTGAGTCAGATTTTCCCTTCCCGCTTCTAAAAAAGGGTGAGATTTTTTTTAAAGCAAATAAATGTGGATTTGGTTCATTTGCCTTATGGCTGTTGGGCCTTTAGGCAAACAGAAACTTATAATAATAGTTATTATAATAGCATGACTCTAGGAGTTCAGGCTTTTTGTATATAGCAACAATTACAGAGCATAGCACTGAATCTCAAGAGCTGGCACCACTGCTCCTGCCTTCATTTTAATGTGAACAGGATTGCCGTAGCCCTAAAGGGGAAGAGCCAAGCACTGATTCCAGACTGAAGCCCAAAAGGTTAAAGGAGATGTGTGGAGGGGTGGAAGCTATTTGGTCAGGGCTGGGAAGCGGGGACCTAATGTCTAAGTGCCGTGAGCAACCCTGGGAATTTTCCACTCGGAGAGCACATAAAACACAGGTTGGTATGGTACCAGCATGTGGTGAGTGCTCTAACCCTCTAATTTACAAAGCACCCTCTAGAATTAAATGAGCAGATTTTGCAAATTGGCTCTCTACCTTGGTATTAAAACCTCACAGATGAGTTACTGCGAAGTCAACATAAACGGAGATCCAGATGAATAAGTATAGCAGAATCTTTGTTACATCTTCTGCAAATATAATCAAGAGGCAAAGAAAGCACCTGCCGTAGAGAAGGCAAGCACCATCTGTAGTGAAACGTCAGCCATTTCTCAGGCTGATAAACATTAGGTGCTTCATTGCCACAGAGCACGTCTACACGTTCAACTAATGTGCTTTAGGTCATTCACATTAAATCTAGTGCCTCCATTGTGGGGTACTCAAAAATGTTAATGATCTTATTTTAATGCTTATTAGCTAAAGAGCATGGGGGCTCATACACATGACAGAGCTCTGCCACAGTGTGTGCTAATTAGCATGCGTTGCACAGACTTGATTAATCGAGTCTGCTAATTAGCATGCTCCAGCAGCCTCTGTGTCATGTGTATTGAACATCCCCATGGGGGGGCATGTCAATTGAACTTTAGTTAAAGTGCCCCTGCCACCATTTTGAAGTGAAGGGTGCTGAATACATGTGAGAGCTGCTTTAATGAAAGTGCCTCCGTATCCCACCCCAGAGCATGTGTATAGATGCCTGGGTTTTTTGTGATGCTTTAATATACATTAAAATAGGCTAATGTGCATTAAAGCGCACATGTAGATGCACCTTCAGCTACTACATGAGGGTAAAATGCAGCAGTGCATTGCAGTACTACATAGCAGCTGAGGACGGGAACCAACCCAACTGGAATTGCACTGGAAGTAAATGGTTACAGATTATATCCCAAATGTGGAAGGGGCTATTACAGGGGTTTAGCAGCAGTCGCTCTGTATGGGAGGTGGTTTCCTTGGGACTCTGACAGCAAGGTCGTGAAAATGCAGAGAAGATAGTTTCATAGTTGGTCAGGTTGGAAGGGACCTGAGCAGAT